TAAGGATATGGCTATCCTATCTTATCACTTTCATATCGCGACAGTACATTGTATCATGTCCATGCTAAATCCTAAATCCTAAAAATCATATAAGAATAAAACTAATTAGTATATATATGAAGGAAGGGTACCTATAAGGACCTTGTCAAGTCCAAAATGCCTAAATGTTATCCATATTGTCATTATAGCAAGTATCCAAAATCTAACTGGAAAGAATCATTTTTCGGTACCTCTATCCTTTATTCTGCTTCTCCATTCATTCCCCCAAAATAGACAAACAGAAAATGTAAATTAATGATGTTGCTTTTGTTTATCCGCATTCTTTATGAAACAGAGGTGTTGCTTTTGTTTAGAAGATGTAAAAAAATTAATATAATTCATATACAATATTAGAAGAGTAGAATTCATAGGGGATGGATAATAGAAAACACATGTGTTGTATTGATTTGAAGAAACAAAAGTTGCAGTTGCAGGAGATTAATTGATATTTATAAAAGGAAATAGGAATTAGGGACTTACCAATATTTAATGACAGCAACAACAGAGACCCTGCACACTCAGGACGGTTGAGTATTTCACAAATTTGGGTATACTGAAACTCCCCTACACTTCCCAAACGATGCTACGTCAATGGCCTCAACCTTTCTGGAAGAAACCCATACAATAATAAAGAGAAATTGAGGGTAAACTCAAAATCAATAGAATCACAAAGAGACAAAGAAAAAGAAGATTTAAGGGAAATAAAAAAAATAGAACCTAAAAAAGAAAAAAAGCAGTATCATAATTATCAATATTAAAATCAACTGTGCAGTGTGCATATTAAAAATTCATGGTGCACATACTATATGCACCCCCAACTTGCAATGGCCTTGGCGGTATTTCTTGGTTCCCTTGGATCAGGTGGTGTTGGGTTTCTGCTGGTCTTTACAACCCAAAATCTACATCCACATCCACGGGTGCAAGTATCCCCAAGAACCATAATTGTAGCAGTTGCAATACCATCTCACGCATTCCAACACTGTCCATAAGAGTATAAAGGTCAAAACATTATATTTAGAAAATTAGACCGTAAACATCTTACCAAAATAATTTATTGTTAATTACATTTAAATACAACTTCTTTCTCTGTCTTCAGTCAGAAGGCTATTTGTTTCGCATGTTTGATTTCATTATGAATCCCTAATCAAGATAAACAAACCACAACATCAGTATTAATCAATCAATGGTAAAGTTCAGCCAGAGGGATTCCTGTCTAAAGCTCTCACCTACACAATGAAGAACCAATATTTTGTAAAGTAACATAATTAAAATGATAAAATTTTCAAGCAAAGCTCAATCTAAATCTTGCAGAAAATTGCACCCATTACCATTCTTATCACTGTTGGCAAACAGATTTAACTTTTGCGTTGAACCAGAAGCCCATTGATAAATTTTGACATTTCTAACGTAGCAAATTAAAAGCAACCTTCAAAGTATTGCCTTCACCCCACTTATGAAATCTATTTTGGTAATTGTACACCTAAAAGTGGTTTTGATAAAACTATCCAAACAACATTGATTCTGCCAAAATCACTTTTCAGGCAAAGGTATCCAAACATCAACACTTCAAGTCAATCCCTTTCAACAAAAATCAAGTTCCCAAACACTCACTCAACACACAAAAAGCTTTGTATTGAATCTACCCTGGCTACCTAGTATAAGAACATTGTTTTGTCAGCAAATAACACAGTCTGATAGAAGAAGGCAAATCCTGTACCTAACATTGCGCTTATGATCAGCACTGTCAACCGCTCCAAATGTTCGCCCGGGCCCAAACAGGTTTGAAGTTAAAAAACACAGAACCATCATCACCACCAGCCTCTCATTTTCAAGAGGCACATTCCGAGAGACATCATCATGGGGGGCTCAGTGGCTGCGGCAACTCATCCTTCTCAATGCCCTTGCGGAAAAAGTCAACACAATACTTCTCTTGTTCCTCTTCATCAAGCAATTCTCCCTTCATAACTTTTCATACAACTCAGCCTTCTCTCAAGTGCTGCATAGCTCACCGATCCATCCTTAACTGCTTTCAACTCAAGCTTGTCCCCGATAGCAAAATCTGGTTCATATGAATAGCTATTATCTAAAGTTGCAATTCATAATCACTATAAAAAAACATCAAACTTAGGTTTATAATTATGATTGAGTAAATAGTCAATCAATGCCTAAAAATTAAAATTAATTTGAAATAAGCATATTTAATTGAAGAAAAAGACAACATAATATAGAATTAAAATAGTTTGTTCTTTAACACTCTATACGGTCTCTTCCAGAGTCTTCCCTAAAAGAGTGAAATCAAGGTTGACAAAACAAAACGCCAAACACAACCTACATATAGAATCACATTATCACACACAATCAATCTACACCAGTAAAGAAGTGACACAATTTGCGTTCGCCACTTCACAGTTCCAAAATCAGGGAGTCAAAAGCAGAATTGGAGTGACAGAATCAAACCTTGTTAACTTCTTTGGGAGGAGGCGAGGGGAAGAACTGCTTGACCATGTTGAGATCGACGGCGGGGAAATACCTGTAGAAACACAGGGAAACACTAGAAGGGGGGTTGAATAGCGTTTCTTAATATTTTTGAAAGCTTTTCAAAACAACAAGTATAAAACTGTTTCAGACAGTTTTTTTAGGGGCTGTCTGAAGTTTTTAAGACAGCTTCTCAAATATATTTTAAAGGTTTCTTAGCTTTTAAAATATTTAGAATTGCTTTTCAACACCCTTAATTAGTATAAACGAATTGACAAGAGTTAAGGATAGAAAACTTAGCCAAGGAATTTATCCTGGTTCACTCACTACCACTGTGAGCTACGTCCAGTCCCAATGCCAACTAGCACTTGGATTTTCTCTTAATCTTTCACAAAGATTACAAGTATTCTTTTACAGTCAAGCCTCTTCAGGCTCTACAACACAGTATTCTTTACAGCCAAGCCTTTCCAGGCTCTTACAAACAAGTATTCTTTAGACAACAAGCTATCTCCAGGCTCAAGAACAGTTTTACAAAGAAAGATAAGTTAAGCTTTTAAACTAAACCAGTTTTTAAGCTCAAACAAATACAATGTACAAAGATAACTGAGGTATGCTCAGGATATACAAAAGTGTGTACAAGAGAATATTATCAGAGAGTTTTTACAGAGTAAAAACTGGCAAGCAATTTGTTTCTCTTTGATTTTCTTGAATAAGAAATCCTTAGCACTTTTCTCTTCTTTTCTCACTTTCTCTTTTTTGATGGTCTTCATGAGGGGTATTTATACCCAGGCTTCAGTCCGTTGAAAAAATCACCGTTTAGAGATAGCATTCAATGCTATTTAATCCGTTGTGAGACATGCTTCTGAGAGTTCTGACCTTTCTCTGCACAGAACAAGGTTGCATCTGCCAAAAAGCTGCTTCAAATGTTGTTGCAGAGGCTGCGTTGCAGGAATTTCCTCAGTGGTGTATGAATTTCAAAAACACCAGAAAGACCCTCTGCGTTCCTTGCCATAAATATGCTTGAAGGGGTACGTGCAGCAGAGACTCAGAAAACGTCTTCACAAAGCTTCAGCAAAGGTGCCACATCATTATTGAGACTTCAGACAGTTTTCAACCACTTCAGATGGTTGGGCACTTCAGACGCTTCAACACTTCAGACGGGTTGAACCTTCAGAAGGCCTGATCCCTCAGACAGGTTGAAATACTTCAAAGTCTTTTGTAGGATCATGGTGGCTTGCTGAAATCATAGATAAATCATTAAAAATATATGTGTATCTATGATAAATTATTTTAACCCAATTTGTTAGTCATTAAAACTTGGGAATTATATTGTCTTAAAACGTCATAATTTACTTATGATATTTTTGAGACTCAACAATACCAATTTGGGGGCAAGCGAAGCACGCGAGGCCATGAAGAACGTTGTTGAGGGTCTTGCTCTAGTTTTATGAACACCATCCACAACCTTATATGATGAAGCGTCTGAAATTCTCTCCGAAATAGGTTCTCCAAATCATTATAATCTCACACTGACGAAATCGCATGTATAAACTCTGCAAGCAAAACGTATGAATCAGGAGAAATTGAATTTTAAAACGATAAAAATCAGTCAAAAATTTATCCAACCAAGCAAATGGTTACACGTTCCGCACACCAGGTGTCTGATAGAAGTATCATTTGATGTTTTCCCACTCAACATACGGACGTTGATGAGACCCTCTGTCTGTCTCGTTCACAGTGCAAGTAGAAGGGGTTAGAGCACAGTAATAAAAGAGAGATGGGGGGTAACAGAGAGGGATGGGCGTTCGACGATTGCATGTGCGACGATGGCCGCATGTAAATTGTGTTGTGGATCGCAAGAACAGGGGGTGGTGTCACTTGGCTTGGCCATGGTGGGCGGCGAACGTCGCACGACGGTGGAAGCGCAGTGATGAAGTGGCGTGACGGGGGTGTCCATCAGGCTATGGAGGTTCTGGGGATGATGGTGGGTGTCGGTTTCCTCTTCCCCTTACCCTTTTTTTCCATAACTCTTCCTCATCCATATTGTTATTATCTTTCAAAGCACACATCTTTTGCTCCAATCCTTCAAGTCTTCACCCAAAGTCTCTTCCTTCCTTCGTCTCCGCTCTCCAGCATTGAGTACCTATTTATCTCTTTTTTACTTTGCAAAAGCCATTTCTCCAGGTAATCCGGATTTGTTAAAAGATGGGGTGGAGTAACTGCTCTATAATTTCAGTAACTGCTTCCTAAGTTCTTCCCTCGTTGGGGACCTCTTTCATGCGTTTAAGTTAGAAACCCTTTCTGAAATGTGAAGGTAATATGATCGTGTTTACATTTTATTTTGTGAGAGCGGTTGTTGTGAACGGTTTTTTATCGTAATTTTAAGGGTATTTTATAGGGTATAATTGGAAACTGAAATGTGGACATCAGATCAGGACCATCCCCTTTATTAATAGTATAGATATTTTGCGCATAGTATATAACAAACGTGTGTGGTGTGGTGGTAACGCTGCATTCTTGTAAGCAGGGGGCGAGAGTTCGAATCCCTCTGGACGGAACTCATTCTAATTTTTTTTGTAACAAACACTCTTAATATACAAACCTCTGAACCGTGAACCGCACCGGTTCCTGACCGATTTCGCAGTTTAATACCGGTTTACAACCGGTTCCTACCGGTTCTTGGACACACCCGGTTTCATGGGTCTATTGGACCGGACCTGGGCCCGGTTCCCGGTCCAACCGGCCGGGTCCGGTCCGGTTTCAAATCACTGGCTGGAACGAGAATACGCTCCACCTGCGCTGAGCGCAAGTGGAGCGCAGCATTCAATTAGTTCTCTGTTTCCTGCGCTCAGCGCAGGTTGAGGCGCAGGAATACGGGATTAGTTTTTCAAAGGATTTCAAACAAGATTCCTTCCAGATTTCAGATAGCTTTCCAACTTCTATTTAAAGGACCTTTTGCATAGATAAAAGGGGAGCTTTGGGACGCGGGAGTCGCAGAGACCTCAACACGGGAGGGACGGCCGAGCAGAGCTAGGGCTGGAGAAAAGTGTGACAGTTTCTCTGTTGGTTTGTAATGGCTACCATGCGTAGCTAAACTCTCCGATAGGATTGAATGTAGTCGACTCAATCCCCAATTGTATGTGAAATTCTCTTTACTATTTATGAATCCTTATTTTTATGATATCGGTATTTTTATTCTGTGCTTAATGCTTAGCTTCCGCCTGTGTGCCAGAGTTATAGGTTGATTTATGGGGGCGCATTGGAAATGGTTTTGTAAAATCAATAGCGAGTTTGGGGGAGCCTAGGAATAGGAAACTTGAACTCTGATTGGTAAAAGTACTCATATTAGTTGCTGAGGAATCAGGGCGAATTGATAGTTTAACAAACCGAAAACAGATCTTTAAAGTCGGGGTAATTTGTCGTCTGGGAGAACCCGCGTGAATTATTTCTGAGTATTTTGCGATCTGGGGAACCAACGTGGAATAACTTAGTTTGGCTAATGTATCATAATTACATATTCATAATTATTATTGGGGTTCACAAACGAAAGAGGTGCGATAGACGAAGTTCAATCCTAGTCCAAGTAACTGTCTCTACCTACTCTCACTTTTATTTCTTTTTTATTACTTTCGCATTCAACAACCAACAATCGTATTCTCTACTTGATAGTTGTGACCACTGTTCTTTATAAATTAAACCGTTCCCTGTGGATACGATACTCTTACATACTATTATACTGCTGGGTTTTTGTACGCTTGCCTGAAATTCAACAAGTATTTTTAGCGCCGTTGTCGGGGAACGATTGATGGGTCTCTGGCAAGCGAACCACAAATCCAACAGTATAATAGTAAGAAAGAGTATCGTATCCACAGGGAACGATTATTTATGTAGAACGAAATCCTATTATCAAGAGAAAGCACAGTTTAGAGAGTATAATTGCAGAATGATAAAGAGAGTAGATAATTAATTGGAATTAGAAAGGTAGAGTTAGAGACACTTTACTTGGATCAGGATTGGATTTCATCTCATCACACCCATTGTGCATATAAAGACTATCAATTAATTTAGGTTTACTCTATAATAATGTAGACTAACTTTATTGCTAAGGCCCCTCGCCAGCGACCTTAACACTCAAGGATAAATTATGCGGGATCTCCCAGGCGATAGATTTATCTCGGCTTATTTCGCTCTCTTTTATTCAGTTTGTAAAGAATTAGATGATAAACGAGGCCTAGTGCTGTAGACGCGCCTTCGCTCCAGTACTGTCACTACCTTATACTCATTAGGACAACGCCTATGTTCGGATCCTGGATTGACAACCCCCTAATTCTTTGCTACCGATTACTAAGTCCTATTGGTCGAATGCTCCTTCACTTAGAGTACTCACACTACCCCTCGTTCATTAGTAAACATCCATTTCAGCCGTCAGTAGTAACCGAGTATTCTTATTCAATCAGAGAATGAGTTTTCCTATGTCTAGGCTCCCTCATCCTCACTCTTAGTAATAACTGGCTTTAGCTAAGACTAACCTATAACTCCAGACGCAAGCGTGGGAATTAGGAATAAGCACAGAATAAGACATACCACTATTATAGATAGGGAGCTCATTGAAATAATAATATAGAATTTATATACACTCAAGGATAGAATCAATTACATCCAATCCTACTGGAGAGTTAACTACATGAAAGTAGCCAAACAAACCATCGAAAAACGCTGTCACCATCTTCAATCCTCGTGAAAGCACTCCTCCTCTCCTACTCTAAACTTAGCTTTGGTGCATTATCACTGAAATAAGACTGAATTACAATAATCGTGCACACCGGATTTGGCACAAGAGGTTCCTATTTATAGATTAGGAAAGACAAAGCAAATTTGGGAAGAGATCCTCTTAAAAACGGTAACTGGGGAGCGATCTGCGTGTTCTGCGCTTCAAGCTGCGCTACAGCTTGCGCTGTAGCGCAGGTTCCAAAGAGTTGCGCTTCACCTGCGCTATAGCGCGGGGGTGAAGCGCAGCTAGCGTCTTGCAGCTTCAACTTTCCTCTTTTATTTGTTGATCTCTCCCCGAGATTGGTTTTCATGCGTTTGCCTTCCTTGTTTCCCCTTATTTCTGATATCTTTATATTTATTGTGCAATCCTTGTTTATTTGGGAAGCTTGTCTGCAATATCTTTGATTGATTGTCTCTGATCTCCTCATTAATGATTCAAATCTTCTTCACATCTTTAATTAATTGTCTTCAATCAATCTACAATCTTGCATAAGTCCTCCTCATTTAATGTCATTTAATCTCTGAATTAAATCTTTGCTATAATCCTGCAAAAATCAGCAATAAATCTATTAAAATAGCATCAAATTCCAAACTAGGATTAATAAATAAAAATTAGTAAATATTAAATAAAAAGTGATAAAAAGGGGGTAAAATTATCATTTTATCCTTGATAAGTGAAATAAAATATATACTAATTTATCAACTATTTTTCACTTATCAAATTCCCCCCAACTTGAATTCTTGCTTGTCCTCAAGCAAGAGACCTCTTTGCATTCACAATCAATTCTAATCCTTAGTGTATTTTTACAAAAATAAAACTAATTCAAGGTAATCATCCCTCAACTCCTTCCTAAGCAGAAGTCACTTCCCAAACATAAGAAAGAATCAGAATCAAGAGATATTACCAATCAGCAGTTAGGATAGAAATACAACATCAATTAAACTTTCTGAATAATAGCAATTAAAGCAGTAAGTGATAAACCAAGGAAATCTCTCATTCTCACGGGTAAGTGTTTCCCTCAATCATTTTCACCCACTGTTGAACAACTAGAATTGATAGTCGTTTCCAAGGTCTGAACCTGCAAGCAGTTAGTATGGATCAAAAGGTCTTTCTTTAGGTTGTAATGAGGCTGGGCTATCAAGAAATCATGGTTTTTCTGGATGATCAAGGAACACTTTGAATAGAGAGCATCTTGTGGTTGTGCTTTGGAACTTCTCTCAATTCACCTGATGATTCTTGAATGGTCACCCCTTTTCAGCTTTGGCCTCTTTTTGAAGAATTTTCTTCCCCCAACTTATTTATTTTTCCACACTTTGTGCAGAATTTTTTTTGTATACATAACATAAAAAACTTATTTTTGGTGGGGGAAAATCTTTTCTTTGTGATTCCTTGTGCCTTCTCTTGGATTCCTTGTGACCAACCTCTTTGTCAATTGCTTGTCCCATTTTGTTGTAGTGCACCTTGCTCTCTATCCCAAATGTTAAGGGACATGGTATGATCATTGATCATTGATAATGATAACGACTGGGGTGCATCAAAAGAAACATTAAAGGCTCAAATGGGCAATCAATAATTGGAAATATTAATGCATGGTTGGCTATTTGGCACTAAGCATAATATTAAAATCACAAAATTGTGCCTTTGTCACTTCCATACCTTCTACAAGCAAGACAAACTTCAGAAACTCAAGCAATAACAATTGACAATCAGTGGTGAAAAGCTCTCAATATAAGTGTTTAAGTGTTTAGGGCTCTCAGCTCACCGGTTGGGCTAAAAATTCCTTGCTAAAGCACTTACTGGATTTAATAAACTACCATGATGGGTTCTCTTGAGAAGTACTCTAAACCTAACTGATTATGGAATTAATCACAAGACCCTATCATCTTACCTAGATTGGTTAGTTAAACTACTTATTTACAGAGAAAAAGGAAATAATTACCTTGATTCCTAATTTCCTGAGGTCCTAAAAATTTTAAAAATTCTAAAAATTTAAGAAAAATTGAAAATACGAAACAGAAATCCTAATTAACTAGAAAATATCTATAAAATAATAGAAAATAAAAGAAAAACTAAAAGAAAGAAAAACTAAAGAAAGAAAAACACCAATATCAATCTTCATCCTTTGTATATTGTGAGTCCTTGTCTTGCTGCTGCTCCATCCCCCTCTTGGAAAATAGGCCTGTCCTCAGGCCATTGCAAGAATATCCGGAATCTTCAACCAGCAAACCCGGGTATGGGTCTAGTACTCCTGATTCGTTTGGGGTCAACTAGTCTTTATACAATATAACAGTGTGTGCAATTCATGAAGAACATGGAAGCCTGCCAATAACATGCATAAATAATTATTCTCTTCACAACAAAACTTCACTGCAATTGGTAATGCTTTCCTAAAATCAGAACATACCCAATTGTTTTGCAAGCATTCAATCAATCCATGGAAAGTGAAAGTTTAAAATTTTTGAAAGAAACATAACATAACACTTTCAAATTTAATAACTCTCAAAACAAAGAGCATTCCAATCAAGCAAATTGTTCTTCATGTTCCACACAGCCAAGACCACATTCAAGATAGCAATAATCAATAATATTCACAATCCTAAGGTTGCTACCCTAAAGTGCAAATAGAGTAAATGAAGATTTCAATTGGTAAAAATTAAAAATAACTGAAAGTTTCAAAATTGATGGAAGTTTATGTGTGGAAAGAGTGAAAAGAAGAGCTTAGGAAGTAGTACATTAGAAAATAAAAGATTTTTTTTTTAAATTTCGCATCCTGCGCTTCACCTTGC